CAAAGAAAGTGCCTTGCATGTTGTTCCATGACCAGTGAAATTCGCTAGCAAATTGTTGCGTGTAGCGACCATGTTCAGGGTTTGCTAGCAGCGTTCAACATTTGCAAAAAGTCTCATGTAAGGAGCATCCATTCTGAGCTGTTGCCATGCCCAAAGCGAAGAGCAGACAGCTGACAACCCAAGCAGGTAGGTGCAAAGCCCTGGGTTTGCAGCCAACCCCTCCCTTGCGGGTGGTTTGGTTCTGGTTTGGTTCTGTTTAGTTCGGATTGACAAATTGGCTAACATTGACTGATTCGGGTTGGATTTCGGCACCTCCGGCATCACCGCTGTTTAGCCAAGGAACATTTTTCTGCTTACTAAAGGAAGATGTCACTCTGGTCCGTAGACGAAGCTGGATGTCGTTTTAGTTCATGGAGTAAATTCCTCCAGCATCAGTGGTGTGTGAAATTGGTTAACGTGTTTAGACAAGGAGACATTGTTTTATGAGGGAGCTGCCTTTCCGCTGACACGGTTTCCAACCTCAAGTTTATAAAGTCACTCGGGCGTCAGGAATCCTTACGAATTGAATTGCGAAACTGCACCGCTTGAGCCCGACGTGACTTGTTCTTCTTTTGACAGCCTTTGTTGACTAAAGGTGGTTGACACGTCCAGCGTCATCCGTGTTTTTTGTCAGGTTTTCTTCTTGCCAAACGTAGACGGCGATTTGGCCCATAGACTAAATTGGTCGGCACGCCTCGCCAAACTGCAAGTCTCTCGAGCCTGGCTCCAGACACCTCTCACATCTTCCAACAGGTTGCTATCGACAATTCGCCAATTCGACTTTCGTACATGTGCGTTAAGGCCGTTAAGGTTTCATATTTGCATAAAGCGATGTGTCTCCTTGCCCCAAATCCGTTCAATTCCAGCGACCGCGTTTTGGGATTTGCAGCTACAGTGTGACGAGATCAGAGGCGTATGAGAAGATCTGCTTGCCGAGCCCAAAGGAAGGTCAGGCTAAGCTTTGCGTAGCTTTGCGTAGCTTCTTGCACTTCTTGGGTGTGCCTTTGCTTATGCGTGACCGCAGGGAAGATGCGACAAACCATGGAGCTGCCAGCTGCAGCCATTGCACTCGGGGCTCGTTCCTCAGACTTGAGCGTAGCAGTGTGGCGGTCGTAATGCCAGAGACTTGCCAGTATTGTCTGCTGGTCTGGTCTGTGAAAGGTCAGAGCGAGAAGAACTCCACGGGCAGGCAAGGGCATGGGTTGAAGAGAAGGCTTCAGGAGATTGCGCCAGGCAGCCACAAAAGCTCCAGGGCCTTGCGCTCGGAGACCGTTTCAACATGATTTCAACAGCGGGAGCGTTGGAGGACGTGCACGCGTTTGGTTTTTCAAGGAGTTCGACAGCTGGTGGGGGGATTAAAAGAAAATGCTGAAGGCTTAGGAAGTTTCAGAGACTTCTGTCCCCTTTGTGACCAGGCATTGGGCGAGCTATCCTTACAGGCGAGCTAATGACAGTAGCTATCAGGTCAGATATCGAGCCCTGCGATGTTTGTCCAGCCTGGATCCTTTCCCCGAGCAAGGCAGGCTTCAGCAACAGCGGTCAAGTATCTCAGAAAGCCGTGCCAACCCACTGAGACCAGACCCTTTTGGACCACTTAAATTGTAGGCAAAAGCTTGGCAGTTTTTCCGGAGCGAGTGCTCGCATATGCCGTTCTCTGGTGTTGGTGAGACCATGACAATGTTTTGGAGATGCACACATGTTGCAACCGCCAAAAAGCATTTGCTAGCAAAGGCGACCTGGAAACGCAGTTCTTGAGCTTTGCTGTTTGTTTTTACCGGGACGGTTTGCTTGCTTGCTCCGTTAGGTGGTTGCTCGCACTGATGTTTTCCGTGCTGCGTTTTATGCGACACGCTCTTTACTTATGGCCGATCTCCTATTGTGCCTAGACACATGTTCCTGCTTCTTGGGGTATGACTTCGGGCGGCGCAGTGTAGCTTGTGACTGGTTCTGTGCTTTGCCTAGAATTTTCTTTGCATGTTGACGGCACAGACTCAGCGGAGGGACATGTTGAGAGCGTTCGCGCGACTTGCAGGGCATGCTTGGCTGTGCGGAAACGTCAACAAGTGGCAGCTGCAAATTTGCTCTAAGGGACGCCCAGAAGTCCAGGAGGCACCGGGCATGTCCTGGATGCAGTTTGTGTGTTGGGCACGCTGCGCTTTCCGAGCGCGGCGAAACAAAGATGCTGCAAGCCAGACTGACTGGCAACGGCAGGTTGCAGATGCAGCCCAAGGCTCAGCCAGGATCCAGCTTTAGGCCAAACGGCAAACCTCAAGGGCTCTGCTTTCTGTCAAGCAAGTCACCCGGCTCCCAGGCAACGACGCACACACGCCGGTTTGCTGACCGCCGGAAGCTGGAGAGATGCCATGGGCATCGGTGTATTAGCTTGGCTTCAAGCTTTTCACTTCAGGGTTGCCGCCCTGCGCTAACTCCAAGGCTAGCAATGCAGGTTGAGGTTAATGGCGGAGCAATTGTTCAGCTTGCGAAGGTGTACTTGTGCGCTTGCAAGTGGAGCGCAGTATATTCGCGCATTGGTGTTTGCAATTTGCGCAGCGACCATGTTGTTTGGCTTCAGCTTGTGATGTCGTTTGAGCCAGCTCTCACAAACAGCAAACCACTCCAAGTGTGTCTGAAAAAGCAAGAGTATGGTTGAATCGCTGCGGCAACAGCAAGCTGGTTGATTGTAAACACGCGCGTTTCAGGGTCAAGTTTACAACCATCCCGCGATGAGTGGACCAATGCAAACAAATAGCGCGCGCCTTTGACATGACACTAGGAGGTTAGGAGGTTGGTCTATAATAAACCCAACCCAACCCCAATCCAACCCAAACCCAACCCAACCCAACCCCCCCCCCCAACCCAACCCCCCCCACCCCCCACCCCCACCCCCCCCCCCCCCCCCCCCCCCCCACCCCCCCCACCCCACCCCCCCACCCCCCCCACCCCCCCTACCCACCCACCCACCCACCACCCACTCAGTCGGAAGGCAAAGCCCAGGCAGCCCAGGCGTGCGCCCCTTTGGGCCTCCTTGCAAACCTGGTGCAAGAAAGTGTTTCACATTTCAACAGTGGACAACACCAAAATGCTACTCAAGGGAAGGGGGCATTGCCGGAAGATTGACCACGTCACAGCAGAAAAGTGAGGTCCTCGCAAGGCACCTTGCAGATAGGGTTTGGAAGTCGTACCTGGTTTCCTCGCTCCATGTCGGACCCAGAGCCCCCAGCGCAAGTCCTCAACACATTCGCAAGTGCCTCGCCCGCCAATCTCCTCCATGATTTCCTCGCTGGTTCTGTTCATACTCTGCGCAAGCACCTGCACTCGCTCCAATTTATCGGTTTCAGGCGCGGCGTGTTCTAGAACACACACAAAACTACACAAGAGCAACAAGACACAAAGGAATTCTTCTTCTCAAGCTCTACTTTAAACTCTAACTTCTGGTTGAACTGGTCTCCTTAGAAAACAACCCTGCTTTCCAGCCACACTCGTTTCTAGCATTTGTTGGGAAGTTGTGGCAAAGGCCAATCGAACTCTTTCCTTCAACTCCTATTTGGAAAGGAGTTCCGATTTGAGTTTTTGACAGAAGATAGAAATTTCAGCGAGCTATGTTCCTTAATACATGCTGTTCAAACTGAGGCTTCAGTTTGCAGCGAAGTCCGATCTGGAAAGGAATTCGTACATAGATCTGATCTACTTTTTAAGTCTGTTCTTGGCGTGCAACCCTCAGTGTTCCTGATCAGTTTGATGCCTCGCAGGAGCGGCTGTGGAATGTGATGACAAACCCCAAGGCTGGTCGCGTGTTGTGCTGGCACAGTCATGAGCGCGCTTTGGTTGGGTTATTTTGTTTCGCGTTGTGCGCGCAGATTTCCGAGCGCGAAGTTGTTGGTGTTTGGGAGGTGCTAGTTGCCTGTTTGTGTGACGAGAAGCCTGCCAGTGACTTTTGCTTTGTTGAAAGATCTCGCATGCGTGGAGCCTTTTCCCACTCCGCGCACGTTCTTCGTTGAACTTGCTGAGCTCGTCTCTTACCCAGGTCACGCTGCCGCAGCCCCCCCTCCCCTGCGCAGAGAAAAACTTCGCAGGCAGAGGCGGACCTCAAGATCGCAGACTGAAGAAAGTGACCGCTGAACAGACGGGGCTCCAAGCAACAGGCGTCCGAGCGGACCAGCAAGTCAGGGTAGCAGGTGCTCTAGCCTGTTGCGCGCTTCCGTGTGTAGGGCTTGAGCTCGTGCCGCCTCCTACACGGCGCCGCTGAGCGCCGTGCGTGCTTTACCTGTCAAGTACTTTGACGAAATCCTTCGCGAATGCAGTGCTGAGCAGATAGCGAGGACTTCTTCACTGACAGAAAACCTTCGACGAATTCAAAATTTTATTTGCGCAGGCGATGTCGCGACGCTGAGCGTTCCTGGCGCTTTGGTTCCGCTGGTGTACCAGGGCTCAGCGCCTTTTTGGCGCTGCCTTCTCGCGTAGGTTGCCAGTTCGATTCTATCGGAGTTTGCTTCGAACTTTTTGTGCGCATCATTGTGGGCAGCTGCCTGGGGTTAATCCTTGCCGGCTCCAAACCGCACTTTCTTGCAGTACTTATTTGCAACTTTGGCTGCAGGTTCGCTGTGCCAGCTTGTCCGACAAGGCCAGCCTGGTTGCCCCGCAACTCTGGCTAGCTGTTTGGGCAGGACGAGAGCGCAACGGTTGTGTTCCATGTTCAGGTAGGATACGAGCGCGATCGCCAAATGCCAGCACGCATCGAGGCCTGTTCTCAGCGCATGCCTGCATACATTTGGATTGCTGCGTCAGGGTATCAAGCCGTTGATGCTGTACAAGCTCTACACTGGACCATGGCGACTTGATGTCTAAGGAGCGAGGCGTCATCAGACAAGCGAAATGCAGAGTTCGTTTAGAGGGCAAATTGTGTGTTTGCAGGTTCTGCCTTCAATGCCGCGGATTTGAATCAGCCACTGCGTCTGGCTGATAGTTGCCTGTCTGTGAAACTTGATTCCTCCTGGCTCGCATGTGCTTTCCGGAGCTGACTGAGAGGTCACTCCCTACGCACCCGTTCGGACTACAACTCCCACAGGTCACCCAAGGTGAGCTAGCTGGGCAGTTTGATGTTCCCTAAATCTGAAACATTCAGATGTTTAATACTATTGGATACAAAATCGATGAAGAAATCACTCAAGAAAAATGTAACTCACATAATATGTATAAGCAATGAGAACCATGTGTAAGAAAACTCACACAATACACATATATAAAAATATAGATACACGTTCCAGACCAAGGACCTTTCGGCAATCAGTTTGTATCAGGTACATACCAGCTTAAAGCCCTTTTACTGCCCGTAGAGTTCAGACTCGCCGCAGAGAAAAGACCTTGCTGCGCCCGCCCTCAGCACATATTCGCACATTGTATTGGCCAGATATATATTGAAGCAAACCATGTTCTACCTGCAGAGCCCAGAGAATAAGAAAAGTGAAGATCATTTATGCGAGCGCATGACAGACGATGACAGAGCACTTATAGGGCCACCAAGGCTTCTACAACATCATCCCTCATCGGGGCCGCGCGACACAAGTAAGGGCTTCTCAGAAACAATTTCGAGTGTGGCTTGACAATGAGGGTTTGACGGGACATTTGCCACACGTTGGAGCAGGGATGAAGAAGGCTGCCTACAGGCCGAAAGACGGGGGAATATTCTGCCGACAAGAGAAGGCCATCAAACCAACCCCGCCCAAATCAATTGGACCACAGGTATGTCACAACCGTCAGACCGACGCGAGGAAGACAGCCTAGGAACCCAATCAGCGAATTGTACTGTGAAATCATGAGCGGGATTGAAATCAGGATCGCCCGGGTGCCTGGTCAACAAGCCGACCCTGATATTGTTCCCATGCTGCCACAAGGCGTATGATGATGGATCACCAATGCCGCCGGGACGTGCGTGCGCTGCGCAGATGGTCGAAGTTATGGCTTCCATAAGGATATGAGGGGTGTGTCAGGGCAAGCGCAGGACACGCAAGATATGAATCTCATGACCTCCTTGGCCAACACAATGTGTGAACAGTGCAAACTGACGGCCCAAACGCCAACGGTCTGCGAAACACACAGAACACCCCACCCCACACCCCGCCCCACACAGCTGGGGGTCTACAGCCTGGATTGTATCTACACACACATGTATATATATATATATGTAAATAACTAATTATATATATTAAGCTAGCGACGCTGGCGGGCGACCAACGATATAAATTGTAGTTCTAATTGTTTTGTTGCTGTTCTTGGCGCCTGTCGTTCTTTCTTTCTTCTTCTTCCCTTCCTTCCTTCTTCCCTTCGTTCCTTCGTTCCTTCTTTCCTTCTTTCCCTCCCTTCCATCGTTGTTTTTCTTTCTTTCGTTCTTTCTTGCCTGATTTCCTTCGGCCCTTCCTTCCTTTTTTTCCTTTTTTCTTTTTTACTTCTTTCCCTCATTTCTTTTTTCCTTTCCTTTCCGTTCCTCTCCTTTCCTCTCCTTTTCTTTCCTTTCCTTTGTTTCCTTTTTCTCGAAAGCGTTGCGAAGGGTTCTTCCGGTAAAATCGCCAGCCTTATCACACAGCTAAACTTGCACGAGCCAACTTGCACGAGCCAACTTGCACAGCCAACTTACACGAGCCAACTTACACGAGCCAACTTGCACGAGCCAACTTGCACGAGCCAACTTGCACAGCCAACTTACACGAGCCAACTTACACGAGCCAACTTGTCACGTGCCAACTTGCCCGAGCCAACTTGCATGAGTCAACTTGCACGAGCCAACTTACACGAGCCAAGTTGCACGAGAACAATCTGCACGAGATATCTGCCTGCAGCAGGCTGCGCAAGCTTCGACAAGAACTCGCTCAAGCTGGAGAGCCTTGCAATGTCTTGACGTACTGCGTTGGGGGCATCAATCGAAGCCCCGCTATGCTCTGCGCGTGGCTCATTGTGGCGCACGGCATGACCGCGGAGGCCGCCGTCGCGCAGCCTCTTCAGGCGAGACCTTCCCTGCGGCCGTGGAGCGGCAGGGACTACACCCTATGGGCGCAGAGAGCACGCGACGATGTTCTGGCTCACACAAGTCTAAAGACGCGTGACGCTTTCTGCTCGCAGCCACACGCGCTGACGAGCTCTCGCGCGCCGGCGGCGGACGCGGTCTGTGCGTAGCTGCGCGGCGAGCTATGCAGTTCTGTCGAAGGCCACTTACGAATGAGAAAACGGAAGCAGATACACGTGCATGAAACCGACGCCCACGCGCGCACACACACGCACACCCACACGCCTACACCTACACACACACACGCACGCACGCACACACACACACAACACACACACACACACGCACGCACGCACGCACACGCACACGCACACGCACACGCACACGCACACGCACACGCACACGCACACGCACACGCACACACACACACACACACACCCACACACACACACACACACAACCAC